TAAAGGTTTTGCAGCATTAAAAATTCACTTTCAACGCGATTTGTTTTCCGCTTGTTACATTCCCTTATTATGGATGATTTCAAATTATGTTTTTTTTTTTTCATGAGAACATCTCATCACTTTTATGATGTTAATGATTTCAAATTATGTTTTTTTTTTCATGAGAACATCTCATCACTTTTATGATGTTAACCAAACCAAATAATTCATTAATTAGCATTTTCATACTCACCTCGTCTATCAAAATATATATTAGTATATAATAACAGAGTATAACAATCATGCTTATAATAAGCATTTTAGCGAAAAAAAACTAATTGGCAAAAAGATAAGAAAACATACAATTTATTTTAAAGTATATTACAAATTCACAACTATTATTGCAATTTTAGTTTTTAGTTGTACAAACTGCCCACGGACCACGTCAAGAATAAGCTCCTCATAAAAACTACATCACAATTTTTAATTCGTGGAAAAAATTATAAGTTAGATCGTTGAAAGATGAATAAAAGATATTATCAAATAAGTTTTATATCTTTTATTTAAAGTTGAAGTGTAGTCTTTCCTTTTTAATTTTTAGTCATTTTTTCACTTCACGGAAGGAGAACTTGCCTAATCTAAGCTTTCATTGTTTCCGATTTTTAGAACTTTTTTTGGATTTAGTTCTTACAAAACTCAAATTTTTCAATTAATTTTTTTGTCAACGTAGATTTCCTGAAAAAAAATATAAAATCTAGGCGTTTAATGTTTTTACCAATTTTCCATTACAATCTAAAAACTAATCTACTTGAATTTTCACTTTTCAAAGCAGCACGATGTTTTAATTTTCATTCATATAAATTCTTATTTGACAGTTCAAAAACTGATAACCAAAATAAAAATCCAAAAACTTAACACTATAATATAAAACCACTTAAAATCGCTAAAAATTCATGGTTTTAATTAGGTTGGACAAATTAACTGAACCGAAGCAATAAGAACTGAAACAAAACCGAACCAAAATTTGAAAATACTTGAATGGATCCTAAATTTTTGAGTCGACATCAAACCGAAATATTTTGGGTACCCGAAAAAAATACCTTTTACACCACCACTAAAGCAAGACGTCAACATCTTCAAAAGAACTATTTTGATAACAAGAAATCAATTGATGAGCAGCGTAAGTCTGGCATACACACTCACCAGACAGCGTTACAAACACTTTCAAACTATATTCAACACTTTTACGAAGAAATCAAGAACATGACTAGACATAATAAAGAGGAGTTACACCAATCTACTACAGACGAGGTTGGTTGAATATTTTTATTCCTATTCAAATTATATCTCTATATCAATATTGTGACTAACAGATATGTTTCTTATTGAACCTACAACATCTCTGGAAGACTTGACAATTACTTTATTTGAAATCACAAACTTTACTTAAATTGTAATACAATGAATTCAAAATTAGAAGCGTTTTTTTTAATCATAAACCCGTAAATCATTGAACATCCTATCCCTTAAAACGTTTCTATTAAGCCGCATTATACAAATTGTTGAAAGTCTAGAACCCAAAGACATTAGAGACTAAATAGTACTTAGGAAACACCCTTGTTCTTGCTCCTCTATCTCAGAAACTTTTATTTTCATAAAAAAATTATATATATAATGGAAGAGTTTTCTCTCCTCTTAAGGTGTCCATATCATCATGTTAAATATCCAATTGAACAAAACCATGTCATTAGTTAAAAGTTTTATTTTTCTATTAATGTCTAATTACAATATTTATTCAATTCATTTTTATTTATATTGATGTTAATTATAATTAATAAAAATTTATTTAAATAAAAAAGAAATAAATAAAATAAGGGAATATATACAAAGTAACCATGGATTCAAAAAGAATATACAAAGTAACCATGAGCTACAGTAACATGTATGTAATATGTCGGAATGCACATGTAATTACGTAAATGTCATTTGTAACACGTTTTTTTTAGAATTAGATGTGATGACATAATATATCTCTTTTTATCATGTATTTTTCTCTTATTACACGTTATTTATAAAGAATACATGGTATTTATTGGAAAAAACATTCTATTCAGATTAATATATCTCTTTATCATGTTATTTTGTAATAATACACGTGTTTTATTAAGATCACATGTGATTTATTTTTAAAAAAGATAATTATTTTTTAGTAATACACCATTTTTATTTAGATTACATTTGATATCTTTTTAAAAAGATTCTATTCATATTAAATTTACCATAAAAATGTTTTTTCTTTAAAAAACACTACGTAACAATGTTTTTTTCTTAAAAATTCACTATGTTTTTTAAAATATCATGTATTTTAGTTAAATATAACATGTGAAATTTAAATGTTACATGCTATTTTGAAAAATCTCACGAGACTGTCTCGAATATCGTTGATCTCAAAACAAACAAATGATAGTTTTGGTATTTCACATCATCTGACAATGTGGGACCATGACTATTTTGCAACAAAAAACTTTCTTTCTGCTATTTTCTTAATTTCAGTGTTTTATTTTGCAATTCCATAATATTACCCATAAAATAATTGAAAATTTAAAATAGTAAAAGTATTACTAGAAATTTTTTATTAGTAAACATAATATAATTCAACTTTTATATAATAAATTCTCCTATTAAGGTGCTCACCTCATCATGTTAAACTTCCAATTAAACAAAGCCATATTATTAGTCAATATTTTTTATTTTTACATTAAAGTCTAATTTCAATGTTCATTTTAATCCATGTATTATTTATAGGGTTTTCTGCAAAACAACTCTCTAAGTCAATTTCGTTTGCAAGTTTACCCTCCAAGTCGGAATTATGCAAGTTAACCCCACAATCTCAAAAGTCACCCGCAATACAGCCCTCCCGTGTAGCGATGACGTGACACCCAATAACTTCGTCTGAAAATATAAGGGATTTTTGTAAAAAAAAACCCTCCATGTAATTTTTTTTTGCAAAACAAACCTTCATGTCAAATAAATGCATTTCATACCACAATCTCAAAAGTCACATACAATATAGCCCTTTTGTGTATCGATAACATGACAATCGATAATTTATTTTATGTGATGTAGTATGTAGGAGTATAATGCATCTCGAGCCTCAAATGGTTAATTTTTCCATCATAACCTCATTCCAGCATTTCCATATGTGATATGCCCCGGTCTATCAAAATTCAACCAAAATTTAAAACTTTATATGAATCACTTAAAATTCAATCAAGATTCAACCAAGATTTCTGATCATGTAGAAAACAATTCAACAAACACTAATTACATCAAAATTTTGACATGTGTAGAATAGCCTTCCACAATCTTTTCGGACAACGACGAATCCGGGAAAGGTATTCTACACATGTCAAATTTTGATGTAAGTGATTGTTGAATTATTTTTTACATAATCGGAAATCTTGGTTGAATCTTGATTAAATTTTAGTTGAATTTTAAGTGATTCATATAAAGTTTTGAATTTTGGTTGAAGTTTTGGTTGAATTTTGATAGACTCGGGCATGCCACATATGGAAATAGTGGGATGAGACTATGATGGAGGAATTAGCCAAGTTGAGCCTCGAGATGCATGATACTTGTACATTACATAAAATGAGTTATCTATTGTCACGTCATCGATACACGGAAGGGCTATACTGTAGGTGAATTTTGAGATTGTGGTTTGATCTGCATTTATTTGACGTGGAGGTTTTTCTTGAAAAAAAAAATACATGGAGGGTTTTTCTGCAAAAAACCCTTATGTTTTCAAACGGAGTTATCGGGTGCCACGTCATCGCTACACGGGAGGGCTGTATTGCGGGTGACTTTTGAGATTGTGGGGTTGACTTGCATAATTCAGATTTTGAGGGTAAACTTGCAAACAAAATTGACTTAGAGGGTTGTTTTGCAGAAAACCGTTATTTATATTGACGTTAATTATAATTAACAGAAATTTTAATTAAATACAAACAAATTAAATAAAATAAATGAAATTTTAAAATAGTCAAAATTATATTATGAAAATATTATTACTAATAAAATATTATTCAACTTTTAACATAAAGAAAATTAATAAATCCAGACATTAAAAAACATAAAGAAAATTAAAAATGATCATACTTCTAATTTTTGAATGTGTTAATGAGTTTTAGTGTGAAAGTAAAATTTAAATGCATGGTTGTGTAAAAAAATATTTATGTAACTGTGTTTCTAAAACTGTAAAGAGAAAAATAAAATTTTAAGTGAGACATTAATTTGTAAGAGAAATATAATAAAAAGCGTTTTTCATTATTATTAAATGTTCAGTTAAGAAAATTTACTAAACCAAACTTAAGAATTTTAATTGAAGTCAAAGACATTGAAAGAGTCACACTTTTTTGTAAAACTGTAGAAACAAATCTTAAAAATTCAAAAACTTATAATCTATCTTCTAAAAAATTAATAATAACAATGATTGTATTATTCATGAATTGTATAACAAAATATACATAAACTGATATGTAAGTTGTAAACAAAAAATAGTGATATGTAAATTATGTTACATATATCTTAAATGTTCATATGTATCAGGTCCAGTCTATCAAAATTCAACCAAAACTTTAACCAAAATTAAAAACTTTATATGAATCACTTAAAATTCAACCAAGATTTTCGATTATGTAAAAAACAATTCAACAATCACTTATAAAATTTTGAATTTTGGTTGAAGTTTTGGTTGAAGTTTTGGTTGAATTTTGATAGAATAGACACCAGAGCATATCACCGTGAATTAGGAGTGAATTAGGAGGAACTTCCTTTTGGCTTTTGGTATTGAACCGAACCAGCTTTTGGAAAATGTTGACTAAACTTAATTAGAGAAGACGTGAAAGATGTCATTTCATTTAATGAAATAGTTAAAGAGAACAAAATTCAAAAGAAGTAAAGAGAAAGAGACTCTCATGTGTCAGTTTTGGCGTGCCTAAACGGAGAAAAAGTTATGATTATATCTTCAACAAATACTTTCAAAAATCAAAATTTTGAGAAGAAAAAAAATGAACTTTGGCGTGTAACGTCCGAACCTTCAAGGTTGTAAATTTCTTTTATGTTCTGTTTTGATCTGTTTTGTCAAAGATTCAGAAACAAACTATAGATTTTTTCTTTTAAACTATGTGATAGCTTTAAGAATGGGTTTCTCTGGGTTTGACACGGAGAGATATTTCAGGGAACTGTCTTTATGTTTTGCTGTTTCACAAAGTTGCTTATAAACACATTTGATTTTGAAATCTTATTTGACTTGATTTAGTGGGTTTTCTTAATCAGGGTTTAAACCCTAAAACCCACAAAGCTAACAACTTTGTTTTTTGTGGTGCAAATTTCTCAGATTTAACTGATGGGTCAACTTAAAATTGATCATACCACTTGAAAATGCAGGGTTTTTTTTCTTAATTTAGTGGGTTTTATTAATAGGGTTTCAAGGTTATTAAACCACAAAGCATTCAATTTTGATTGCTATGATGAATTATTCTTGTAAATTTCTCAGATTTAGCTGATGGGTCAACTTAAGATTGATCATAGCACTTGAAATTTGCAGTTTTTGCTTGATTTTGTGGGTTTTGTTAATAGGTGTTTTAGGGTTCGAAACCCCTCTTTTTCTTGGCCAAAGCATTAAACTTTACTTTCTGCTATGAGTTTTTCTTGTAGATTTCTCAGATTTAGCTAATGGGTCAACTTCAAAATTGATCATAGCACCTGCAATTTGCAGTCTTGCTTAATTAATCTTTAATTGCAAAGATAACAAATAAAGTGTAAAAAACACAAAAGATGCTTCTTGTCTACCGTTGTGGTGGTTTTCTTCTACTGATACCAAGATGCTGTTTTATTTTTATTTTTAATTTTGCAGGTTCCCAAACTTCTACGGTTCAATAAACTAATACCACAAACATGTGCTACAAAGTTGGAACTTGAAGACTTGAACAAACACAACACAGTCACCACACAGGTTAATCCATTTTTTTAATCTCGTCTTAAGCTGCATTACATTAATTATAGTTAATAGTTTACAATACAAGTGATTAAGGGTGTGGATCTTGATTCCATTTTGTGCTCTTGAGACATTTCGCTACGGTATTGTCCCCTTCGATTGCTGAGTATCGCCGTGGTTCACGGCATTTTGCTAGTCTATAAGGAAGCAATTTGCTTCTCTTATTGGCTTTCCCATTGAAAAGAGAACCTTTTTTTTTTTAATTTGATTATAGTACAAGTTAACAATTTAATAAAGAGGAAGGAAAAGTTTCAAATCATGTTGCTAATCTAATTGGTTTTAGAGTCAGTTTCTCTGTATTTGAGGTTTTGTTTTCTTCCTTTTGGTTCTTCTCTGTGTTTGTGCTTTTAGATCTCCAAGGGAAGAAGTTAAGTTAGTTGCATCAATCTGGTCCCCACCCTCAGTTCTTGGAACATCCTCACTTTCTTTCTATTTAAGGGAATGGTTTATGGTTTTGGTTAAACTTATTTGGAAGAAGTGGAGGTTGTGATCTTTGAGGCTTTTTTTCTTGGTCTTGTAAGTAATTGATCTTTAGCTTTTCAAGAGTTTTTTTTACCTAGGGGAAGAAGATGAAGTTCATGAAAATTGGTTCGAAGCCAGATTCTTTTAAAACTGATGGGAACAATGTCAGGTAATAGCTAATCTTGATTAAGTTTAGCTTGTTATTGCAGCTACTGTTATGATCTATCCTTGTGTTTCTTTCTTGTTCTGTCATTTATTCTGAGGTTTCATCTTGTGAAAGATCTATGAAACTGAATCCTGATGCGCGAGACTTTGACCAACTTTTCATTATGAGCCTGTCTTGAGAATACAAGTGCTTGTACTTTTGTGTATTTCATATCAGAAACAGAGTATTCTTATTTGATGGTCTCTGACTCTAGATGTTGTTTTTATCTCACGCAGGTATGTAGAAAATGAACTGGCTAGTGACATTAGTGTCAATGTTGAGGGATCAACATTTTGTCTGCATAAGGTATGTACAATTTGTCTCCAAGTTCTTATGCACATCTAGTTACACAGATAAGACTTTAACCGGTCCATAGTTCTTACCATTAGTGATTACTTCGTCTGGATATTTTCTGCTTTCATTATAAATCTCATGAAACCATTGTTCAGAGATCAGTTTTGCAAGCATCAGTTTTAAATGTCTTGTTTCACATAATTCATTAGTTTTGTCTGATAAAAATACAATGTTGCTTTAGCATTTTATTGAAACTGAGTTTTGCTTGAGATATGATGATTCTTGTTTTATCCTCTGCAGTTTCCTCTTCTTTCTAAATGTGCATGCCTGCAAAAGTTGCTCTCAAGCATGGACAAGAACAATACCGATGATATCGATATCTCTGGTATTCCCGGTGGTCCAACCGCATTCGAGACATGTGCCAAATTCTGTTACGGTATGACAGTAACGCTAAGTGCCTACAACGTTGTGGCCACCAGATGTGCAGCTGAGTATCTAGGAATGCATGAGACAGTCGAAAAAGGTAATCTCATCTACAAGATTGATGTGTTCCTAAGCTCAAGTCTCTTCCGTAGCTGGAAAGACTCCATCATTGTCCTTCAGACCACCAAACCGTTCTTACCACTCTCCGAGGATCTCAAATTGGTTAGCCTTTGTATTGATGCCATAGCCACTAAGGCCTGTGTCGATGTTTCTCACGTCGAGTGGTCATATACTTACAACAAAAAGAAACTAGCTGAAGAAAACAACGGGGCGGATCCAATTAAGGCTCGAGATGTTCCACATGATTGGTGGGTGGAGGATTTGTGCGAACTAGAGATTGATTATTACAAACGGGTTATCATGAACATCAAAACCAAATGTATAATCGGTGGAGAAGTGATTGGAGAAGCTTTGAAAGCTTATGGTTATAGAAGATTATCAGGTTTTAACAAGGGCGTGATGGAGCAAGGAGATTTGTTGAAGCATAAGACAGTCATTGAGACACTTGTTTGGTTGCTGCCAACTGAGAAAAACAGTGTCTCGTGTGGTTTCTTGCTTAAACTGTTGAAAGCAGTGACTATGGTGAACTCTGGAGAGGTGGTTAAGGAACAACTTGTAAGAAGAATAGGACAGCAACTGGAGGAAGCTTCTATGGCTGAACTCTTGATAAAATCGCATCAAGGAAGCGAAACATTGTATGATGTAGACTTAGTGCAGAAGATAGTTATGGAGTTCATGAGAAGAGATCAAAACAGTGAGATAGAGATTCAAGATGATGACGATGGGTTCGAAGTTCATGAGGTAAGGAAATTACCCGGGATTTTGTCTGAAGCTTCAAAGCTAATGGTGGCAAAACTGATAGATAGTTACCTTACTGAAATTGCAAAAGATCCAAATCTTCCTGCATCTAAATTCATCGATCTTGCTGAGATTGTTACTAGCATCCCTAGACCCGCACATGATGCACTCTACCGCGCTATTGACATGTTCTTAAAGGTACCAAAAATAATCTAAAACTCTGTTTTTCGCATCTTCTTTGTAGTGTCGAATTATGTTTCCTGATATTGGATTATAAACACAGGAACATCCAGGAATCACAAAGGGAGAAAAGAAAAGGATGTGCAAACTTATGGATTGCCGAAAACTATCGGTAGAAGCGTGTATGCATGCTGTGCAAAACGACAGGCTCCCGTTACGAGTGGTAGTCCAAGTACTCTTCTTTGAGCAAGTGAGAGCGGCTGCTTCATCTGGAAGCAGCACACCTGACTTGCCTCGAGGTATGGGAAGGGAACTACGCAGCTGCGGGACCTATGGGAGCTCAAGATCAGTGCCAACAGTTATGGAAGACGAATGGGAAGCTGTTGCAACGGAAGAGGAGATGAGAGCATTGAAGAGTGAGATAGCGGCGCTGAAGCTGCAGGAAGAGAGTGGGAGGAAGAGCATGGACAGAGCAGGGGTCACGGCGATAAGCAAAATGAGAAGCTTGATAATGTCAAAGAAGATATTTGGGAAGAAGTCGCAGTTGCAGAGCAAAGAAAGAGGAGAGAAGAACAATGGAGGAGGCGGTGGGTCGGACTCGTCGGAAAGTCTTGGATCTATGAACGCTGCTGAAGAAACAGCGAAAACCGCGACGCCTTCGAGAAACTTGACTAGGAGGGTATCTGTTTCTTGATGAACAATTCTTTTTTTACAAACATGTTTTAAATTAATGGTTTTACTTAGGTTATTTTTCAACATCACGTCAGATTATATGAATCAACTGTAATTTCTTTGACTTTTGTCTTTTGGTCTGTTTGATTAGGCCTGGGCATGTGGGTATTCGGGTCGGGTTCGGGTCGGGTCTTTTGGGTTCGGGTTTTTCGGGTTTAGAAATTTTGGACCCGTTGGGTTATATGTACAATTTCGGGTCGGATTCGGTTCGGGTTCACTTCGGGTCCAGGTAATTCGGGTATTGGTTAAAGAACCCATAAATAACCAAAATTATTTTGGGTTTGAGTACTACTTACCCAAACTTTGTCCAAATATACCCAAACATACATAAAAATACTCATAAAACCCGAAAGATCTTAAATTATAACAAGTTGTTCCTTAAGACAATAATATAAAACAAGAAGTAAACCTTGTTTTGAGTTGAACTTAAATCATTAAACAAGTCACAAATTCAAGTTATTAGTGCATATATGTCCTCATATGTGTATATATGTTCGGGTAATAAAAAGTACTCACGGGTATCGGGTTCGGTTCGGGTAATATCCGATACCCACAATTATTTGAAAACAGAACCCGATCGGGTAATTAGCCAGAACCGAAGTAGAACGGGTTAGGGTATTTCGGGTCGGGTTCGGTTCGGTTCTTCGGGTTCGGATATTATGCCCAGGCCTATGTTTGATGATACAGAGAAACTTTATTACAAGATAGATTTAGAGTTATAGAAGAAAAATGAGAAAAAGATGTATTTCAATTTCAACCTCACATTTTCGCACCATGCTTTTTCCTACTTATACAAAAGGTCAGTGGTTTTTCAATAGGAATTCATCAAAGCTTTAAAATTATGTTTTGAATCGAAACCAACATTACTTAACCAATATTAGTTTTTTTTTTTTTTTTTTTTTTTTTGTCAAACAACCAATATTAGTTAATCGTTTAAAATCGATGACTAAGACGACATTCCGTTTAAACAAACCTATGTCGTTTATTGCTTAGTGTGCTAGAACTTCAATCAGCCAACTTTATAAACTTAGGAGATGAGTTTCGATCCCATATGATTTTTTTCGAAGATCCGCTGTAACACTATGCCTAAAAATTCATAGAAAACAAATTTTAGGTTTTTCCCATTCAAATTAACGTTTAAAAATGTAATATACGAAACAATGGTTTGGAAAACCGATACTAGTCAATTTTTTTTGTTGATACTCAAAAAAAAACTTACTCCCTCGGTTTCACAAAGAGTGTCATTTTAGGGTTTGATTTTTGTTTCACAAAGAGTGTCATTCTACATTTTCAATGTGACTTTTATACAGAATTTCCTAATTTACCCTTAACTTAAAGCTCTTTTTTATTAAATTTAAATCATTAATCACTTATTAAATAGGGTATATATCTATATATACATTTTTGGAGTACACTTAGCAAATAAATCATAGAGTTGCTAAGTATTTACAAAAAATGTCATTGGCATTAATTATTTAATTTCAAAATTTTAAATCAAAGATATTAATTACCAAAAAATCTTAACATAATATCTTAACCATAACTAATCCTTTCCATAATATCTTAAAGATATTTTGACAAAATCAATTTTTTAAGTAATTCATTTTTTTAATATATTTATTTTAATGTACATTAATTAAATTATGGTTACTATTCGTTATTTTACAAACTCATTTTGCTATATTACTTATTATAAACCAAACTCATTTTGGCTATATATAATTTGTTTAGTTATAACTAAACATTGTCACCGGATCTCTTCATCCCAACCATCTAATTTCCAGTATCGACTTCTGCGTGTCGTCTCCTCATCGTCACCACCATCTCGATCACCGGATTTGTCATCGTTTTCACAATTTCGTTCTCCGAAGTTCATCATCGTCACCATCATCTCCACAAATCGTTGTTGACACGTTGTCACAGAGAACTCAGAGTCTAAATCGAAATGTCATCAAAGCTTCTCGTCACTGGGTGTAAGGGTAAAAAAAAAAGATATTTTGGTATAAAAAAAATACCTAAATCATCAAGTATGGACAAAAGAACCGGATCCGATAATTTATGTCGGAATAAAGTCCAATCCGGTAATTGATTTTTTTTTATAAACTCACTAAAATTGAGTGGATAAAAATTAGTTGGTTCTCAAATCCCTAGATTTTTTATTTTGAAAACGTGAATTTGTTAGTAATTTGTCAAAAAACATGAATTATTATTAGTAGTCTTTTTTTTTTTTCGTCTGAAGTTTTATTAATAAACCAAGAGAGTTACAAGATGGAATACATAAGCCGGCAGACGACATGAATGTCCCCAGAAACATTTGCCCAAAAGAGGGAAACAAAGCCCTAAAGTACAGGGAAACTGATTAAAACCAAACATAGAAACAAAAATTTAAAGAGGAAACAAACGTCATGGAGAAAGAGCAATCTATATATACATTTTTGGATCACAATTAGCAAATAAATCCTGAAGTTGAGAAGTATTTACAATGACATGCCATTAGCATTAATTATTTAGATTTATTTTATTTAAGTAAAGATTTTGAAATCAAATATGTTCTCAACAATTTACCAAAAATCTCTACTCAATCTTTTTAAAAATCTCGACTTAGTTAACTTCTGATTTTTATCTGCAAAAAAAATAAAATAATTGTAACGAGTGATGTAAAAATCGGGAATGTTGATACTACAATTTCTTCTACTTCTTTTTTTTTTATATAATGAAAATTATTTTTTAGGGATATTTTCTTAAAACTCTAAACAAAACAAAGGGTTTCAAAAGATAGCTTCTCTTTTGGCGGGTCGACCCGCAAACCCGCAACTCTCTACGGGCTTATCCGCATGAACCTGCGACCCGTAGTGGATAAAAATATTATTAAAAAAATAACAAATGATGTTTAATTTTACGGGACGGGGTTATATGGTGCAACGGGTTTAGATCAATATTAATATTAAACAATATACTATGGATGAAATCCTAGAATTAAAAATCAAAATTTAATTATAAAATCAGAAACACTAAACAAAATAAACAATATTAACAAAACAAATACAACTTAAAAATTTTGCAAAATAATTTTTTAGTTATAAAAAAATCGACCCGCGGTGTACCGCGGGGTAAAATCTAGATTTGGAAGTTTAAGGAAGGAAATTTTTTTTTTAAAAATAATGGCTCCGCGGTGTACCGCAAGAAAAATCTTTCTCCTAAACTGAGGCAAGAAGAAGAAGAAAACCAAATGTCGTTTAAGTGTATATATAGATATACCATTTAAACCTAAAACACAATTAATATACTCAAAACTATTAATATAGACATATAGATGGTACATTTATAAAATAGGTCGAAATATTATAGTATACTCTCTATTAATAAACAAAAATAATTATATTTAGATTTTTTAAAAAATAATTATAACCCCGCGGTGTACCGCGGGTTCAAATCTAGTCTAAGCACTATAATTGAACAAAGGCACGAGAGACACTCACAAAGCTTCCCTATAGAACCTGTAAACGCCAGAAGCACCAATAAGACCGGATATACCTCACACCGAAGACAAACCAGAAGCAAACTGGCAGGGAGGAAAGCAAGAATCTAACGCGACCAGAGACACAAATACAACCACCAACACACCTCACCAGCCAATCAGAGAGAGCAAGAAACACTAGGGTGAAGGCAAAACCTTGAAATCGACTGGAGACAAACCACGAAAGCTCAACAATTCTTACACGCGGACACTCGTCGAAACAGCTTCAGCCACCTACAGACAAAAAACTGACGACGTCCTCGCAAGAGAAGAACTAGAGAACGAATCCACTGCTTCGACTAGAACCTAACTCCAAAACTTCCAAAGGAAACTCAAAGAGAGGCTAGTAGGTGACTCAGCAACAAAATACCATCAAAATGGCTCACACCAAGAACGAACCTAGAGCAAATCGCAACCCCTGACCAGCAAGAGGACTCGAAGGAGAGGTAGAGCAAAGATCCAATTTCAAAAACCACAAACAGAGCCACCTCCATCAATTCAAGCCTCACATACCACAACAAGACCTAAAAGAAACAACCTAAAACGATTCTATCTAACCCACGGAACTAGCAGGCTGGCTTACCGGACAAGAGAAACGGACGAAACCATGGCCATTGATTCGCGAAAAACCTCGCCCAATCTTACCAGAAACGAGCACCCGCCAGATCGACAGATCTCGGACACCCAACAACAACTCACAGAGGATAAGCTGACCACCAACAAAGCCACTACTTGTATTAGTAGTCTTTTTAATACACTTTTTCTTAAATCTCCACTACTTGTATAAAAGTAAGGAATAAAAGTAATAATAGCTAGTCAAAAAAGTCAAAACGCAACCACAGATCATTCAGTTTTTTTTACTAAACGCTGCGTTTAGGGTTCTCGGCGACGCTTTCAATCCATGGCGGACAAAGCAACGTCCTCCTCCTCTTCTCCGCCGGTAACCTAAAAACCGTCCTCTCTTTTCCGATATCGTCTCTCATCTCTGTCACTATTTTCTAAACCAAAACTTTTTCTCAGGAAGAAGTTGCAGATGAAACACAAGACTGGATACTCGGAGCCGGGTCGGGTTGGGTCGAAGCTCGTACATCTTGCGATCACTTGAACATTCTCTCTCCCGATTTACTTCACTTACAAACTCCTGATACTCCTTGTTCAAGGTAATTTTGATTTCTAGGTCTCTTTTTTTTTGGAGTAGATGATTTGACTCTTCTGCTTTGTGATTGTTGTTTAGTGATTATGAATTTTAAAAAAACAATCTCAAGTATTGGCTCCAAAGCTCGAGCCTGTGATTGTTTTGTTGGTTTTGACATCATTGTTTTAGATTGATTCATTTTAATTGTAGCATGAACAAGTACTAGGCTGAAAATGTATGAATTTGGCTCTTCTCCTTTGTGATTTTTGTTGAAGTTGAAGATAGAATTAGATACTCGTGCCACATAGCAGTGTGTTAAGTAATTCTGAATTCTAAGGAACGAACTCAAGCGCTGCACCAAAGCTCTTGTGATTCTTTGTTTGCAGTATATTGATTTTGATATCATTATTGTGTTTACTAAACTTAGAATCAGTTCGGCCTTGTCCCTCTGCAGTCGAGGCTAGAATGTAAGAATTGGTTCATCGTCATTCTATACAACTGAGTAGGGGATGTTCTTTCTATATGATTGAGTAGGATCAAACCTTGGCAATAGGTTGGTTAAAAGACATTCATCGTCATACCGATGATACCATATTTATCTTGCTTCAATACAATGTCCACTTGTACTGTAGGAAGTGTTTAGTGATTCTGAAATCTAAGGAAACAATCTCGAGCACTGTGCATCAAAGCTGTTTTCATTGTTGTGTTGGCAGTATATTGATTTTGAGATCATCGTTGTGTTAATTCAATCATCTTTCTTTCTAATGTGTATGATATAAGGTGCCAAAACCCGGTAGAGAACTGGTTATGCCTTTGTTGTAAAGAGGTTCTATGCAGCCGTTTCGTGAACAGGCATATGTTGATGCATCATCAACAAACTGGTCACTGCCTTGCACTCAGCTATAGGTACATTTTTTCATTACATATGCTCGTTCATTCTTGTTATTTTAACGGCGACTGATGCTGATATCTGTCTGTGGAAGAACAGTGACTTGTCGGTATGGTGCTTCTGCTGCGAAGCGTATCTTGATGCTCAGATTATATTGCAGCTGAGACCAATTCACCAAGCTGCTTACATTCTTAAATTTGGCGAGGCTCCTCCTTTACCCCAACTTTGAACATTAAAGAGCTCTCTTTTTCTTTACCTCTCTTGCTTTTGTCTCTCTAGATGTGTGTTAGTGAAGGAAGCTTGGTATATTGAGTTCTTGTTTTTTTTTTTTTTTTGGTTCCATTGAAAGCCAATGAGATTTATTAAGTTTCTAAATAACTATGTTAAATATCATCTCAGTCAAATTTGGGTGAAAAAATCAATGTTTTCTTGAATCAATTAATATATTAAAAGTTACATGCGCCATTTTTTTAAGAGAATTTATAGAAACTAACCTTGAATTCAAAAAGAATTCACAAACTAACCATGAGCTACAGTATCATGTCTATAATATGTCGGAATGGCTGTGTAATTACGTATATGTCCTTTGTAACACGCTTTTTTCCGAATTACATGTGATAGCATAATATATCTATTTTTATCATGTATTTTTCTCGTACTACATGTTATTTATAAAGAACACATAGTATTTATCGAAAAAAACATTATATTCAGTGTAAAATCTGTCTTTATCATGTTATTTTGTAATAATACACGTGTTTTATTAAGATCACATGTGAATATCTGTATTTATCATGTTATTTTGTAATAAAACGCGTGTTTTATTAAGATCACATGTGATTTCTTTTTTAAAAAGATGATTATTTTTTAGTAATACACGATTTTTTTAAAGATTACATGTGATTTCTTTTTAAAAAGTTACTATTCAGATTAAATTTTCCATGTCAATGTTTTTTCTTAAAATAACACTACGTAACAATGTTTTTTCTTAAAAATTCACTATGTTTTTTAAAATATAATGTCTTTTAGTTAAATATAACATGCGAAATTTAAATGTTACATGCTATTTTCAAAAATATCACGAAACTGTCTTCTTTTTTTATATCCAGCGACAAAGTTCTTGTAATTACTATAACTTACAAGGATAATTTCGTATTTATCCTACCCCTACCCCACAAGAAAAAGAGTTAGTTACCAAAAGTTTCTGACGCATGGTTACTTCCTTAATTCATGTGTTTTTTTGTCTACTTTGTAATATTTCCCTTTTTTTAATATAATTTTGATGGTTTCAATCTAAACGCAAATGCCAAATTTTCAGGAAAGAAACCAACGCAATGTTGACAAAGACATTGATAAGTTTTAGGTTTAGGGTGGTTTTGTACATCACCAAATGACGCGCCACCAACTATGGGAGCTGCCAACCTCCGTAGGAGTCTATCTCCACTACATACATAAGTCGAGGCCCTCCTCTGGGCGATGAAGTGTATGATTGGTGCAGACAACCTAGATGTCGCGTTCTATACAGACTGTTCTGATCTGGTGAAGATGGTGTCTTCCCCAACCGAATGGCCGGCATTCTCAGTGTATTTGGAGGAATTTCAGAGCGACAAGGAAGAGTTTTCCAACTTCTCTCTATCTTTAATTTCTCGTTGTGCAAATGTAAAAGCGGATAATCTGGCACGAAAAGTTCGTACAGATCCGCTACATATCACTTATGTAAACAACATTCCACAATAATGGCTCTTTTGAGCGCTATTTATTTAACTTCGGATGACAAAAACAAAAAAAAACCAACGCAATGTTATAGTAATTTTCTTTTAATATCTTTGATAAAAAGATATGTCAAGTAATTAAATATAATTGAAAAAAAGATTATCAGCTACCTAAAATATAGCAGAACACATGGCTACACATGTCAAGTAAACTAAATGATACTAAACTATCTGACGTATATGGATTGCATGGCTACGCATGTGTTATGCTATACTTCAAGTAGCTGGCAATCTTTTTTCCTATATAACTTTATATCTTTTGAGAAAGACTCTCTCTTATCACACTATTATCTTTCAGAGAGAGAAAGAGATTTCCGGTTAACTGGAATCAACTTCTAGTGTTAGCCGTTTATTTTGTTCAATATATAGCTCCCGACTCTGGTCGGATCTCTCCTTTCGCTTAGTCGGATTTTAATAATTTTTGGCTTAGCCTAGTTCAGTTTTCGGCTAAGTTTGAATTATGCTTTGTATGATTTCTCATCTTTCTACATGATCTTCAGTAAAATCCCGTTTGTTGTCGATTGGTTTTATCATATTCAACCGCCCACTTGACTCTTCTCAAAAGTTAGAGTAATATCTTCGTTGTTATGCGAAGTAGACCTCAATTTAGGTCTTGGATGGAGCTTTTTTCTTTGAGTTTGGGTTGAGATGATCTGAAAAAGTCTTTTATTTCTCAAGACGGATCCAATTTGATGTGAGGCTGTGAAAATTATAGAAGGATCTTTCGAGTGAATTTCTGGAGAAAGTAGCTGAATTCGTTGGAAATCCTCGTCAATGAAACCTAGATCTATTCGGTGGTCAGCTCCGGTGGTGATGGCGGTGATGGTTTGGACAGAGTTTGCGGCGGATGTAACGCCCCGACCGTCCCTACCAGTGGGCCCCACGTCCTCTTTCGGGCCCATGGGCCCACCCCTGTCCGACGGCCGGTCCGCTTCGTCCGGGAGGCTTTAAAGACTTGTTTACCGACCCTACAAATCACCACATGATCTTTCCCTATGTTTTGTCCTCACTCAGACGGTTCCGACAATCACTTCCCCGAAGGTCACCTATCCTGAAACTATTTCAGTCCAAGCACGCTTAACTGTGGATTTCTCTCAGGACAGTTGACCGAAAGATAAATGCACTTTGGTGACATAGGTGGCCAAATTAATTCTTTTTTTTTTTTTTTTTAAATTAAATTTTTATTCTTCCCAAATGGGCTTTGGGCTTTTGGCACAGACAGAAACAACGGTTACAAAAGCAGGTCAGGCCCAAATCGGAAAAAACACCGGAAAAGAACTCTGACAAACGGGCGGTACATCGGAAACAACAGATCTAGCCTACCACACCCGATGCTAACAAGATCTACTCCTTTGCTGTGAAGAAGATGACATGAAGCTCTTGACTGGAGTTAGCAGTTCCCGTCGCCAACTGAGGCATCAACTCACCGATCCCGGAGCTTATCTCCCGGAATAAGCCAGATCTGCGACAACCGAGACCCTATCCCTTAACTCCCCGGCCAAATTAATTCTTTTAAACCTCTCCGCATGCACCACCATATTCCTGAAACCAGGGTATTACAGCGGAAGACCACATACGGTGAAGCTTTGGAGATTCAATCGGTGTTGTTTTTTCGTCCAATAAGATGCATTACACGCGTCCCACACGTGTCTTAATCTTGGGCTTTTAATATTGCAAATGTATCTTTTTCTGATAATATATGTTGGGCTTTAATTTTCAAAATGTTAAAGTCCAAGTTGTTGGGCTTTGGAAAACCACTTGTACTACCCATGTTTTGGGTCTTAATAAATAATACATATTGCCGATTAAAAAAAATAAAAAACAAATATCTTCTGATAAAATAAAATATACTAACCGCGAGTTTGCCCACTTCCCCACAATCATCAAACCCCACTTTCTCCTACAAACTCTCGAATCCTCTGTTTTCACTCATTATGAGCAATTCTTAATCTTTGAAGTTTCAGATACAAACCAATAGAACAATGTTTTGTTTTTTGTTCGGATGGAGAAAAACCTCCAAGTGTAAGAGTGTAGTGAAACAGCTTCAATGTCGTCTAAAGCTACTCAAGAACAAGAAATACGCCATTTCTTCACATTTACGAAACGATATAGCTCAGTTACTACGTATTGGTGAACGAGACCGTGCTCTTCATCGTGCTCAACAACTCTTCCTTGATGAGAGCTTAATGTCTCTCTACCACTTGTTGCTTCACTTCTCCGACATTATCCTCTTCAACCTCTCTTACATTCGAAGACATAGAGACCTTCCTAATGGCATCAACGAAGCTGTTTCAACACTTGTCTTTGCCTCTGCTAGATGTGGAGACTTGCCTGAGCTACGAGCCTTGAGGATTCTTTTTGGTGATCGTTATGGGAAACACTTTGTGGACACGGCTCTTAATCTCCTGCCTTGTAATCGTGTCAACCCTCAGGTTCGTGTGTGCACATCTCTTTCGTCTTCATTTCTTGGTTTTGTTTTATTTAGAGTTTTGTTTCTTATGATTCAATCAACTTCAAACTTTGTTTAGTCTTGCTTAAGGTTCAAGCAAGAGTACATCTTTGACCTCTAAATCTAACATAGCATATATGCATACATTCAAATGTAGGTTATAGAGAAACTCTCCATAATCACAGTATCGGATGATGCCAAGTCCAAACTATTAGGTGAAATAGCGGAAGAGTACAATCTTCGTTTAGAAGTTTTGGCGCTCGAATATACTCCAGAATTTCACAAACAGGTTACTCTTTGCATCATTATAAAAATCAATCTTATAAGCTTCTTAATGTGATGTGAGTATGTGATATGGTATTTCTTTGGTGTGAGTGTGTGTAGGTAAAAGAAAGCGAGTATGTAGAAGAAGAGAAAGAAGTCATGGGTACCGATTCTGCTCAGCCGTGTGCATCACAAAAGGCTGATAGCGAAACAGAAGTGTATAAGTTTACTCTCACGGATGCGGATACAGAGGAAAAACAAGCGCAACAAAGTCGTAGTAAAGCATTAAGTGATGAGGATGATTGCATAGAGGAAGAAGTGGTGGAAAAAGATCAGAGTGTATTCAGATTCATAGAGACTGAAGAAGAGAAAAAAGAGAGAAAGAGGTCAAGGAGAAAATCAAGATCATCATCATCATCATCAAGCAGTCCAATCGCGAAAGACATGGAATGTTGGAGGTACTACTACAAGGGAAAGAGAAGTCGTCAAAAGAAAGAGTGTGGTAAATGTTACCATATAGTGTACAACGTGTTTACAATGTTTCCGGATCAAAAGGAAAGCGAAGAAGGCGAAAAAAGTTTGAAGAAAGCTATGCATGTTCATCCTAAGCTTCCCGACTATGATCAGATTGTTGCTCACTTTACTGCTCTTAGGAAACAACAACAACAACAAAAACATATGCGTTCACGATAATTTGGTACTCTCATTCTTTCATATGAACATTTGAAGTATTTTTTTTTATCCAAAAAAAACATTTAAAGTATGATTCATTTGATGTTATGATATGTGATTTAGTCCCAAAAAAAAAAAAAAAAAAACAGGGAACACATAATTGTGCTTTAATTTTTACTTAAGTCCAAGTGAAGACTATTAGTACATAACCAATAACATTTAATTATATTACTTTTCTATAATTTCCTTTGTGAAACTAGGAAAAATATTTGTAACTTATTAGTTATTATTTGAAAATAGAAAGGATAAGAACACCTTCAATACATATAGTTAGCTTTTTTATTTGTTAAGAAGGTAAATATTTCATAAAATGAAAAAAGTTTAGGAATACAATCAAAGATCATAGGCCTACGCAATGTCCTATGGCAAAAAAGATAAAAACATAGAAGCATATATGAAAAACACATTTTCAGTCCATCGACTTGACGCTAACACCAAAGCTAACAGAGTTGGATGAAGTGATTACAATTTTGAAGTTCTTCCTTTTGAGTTACAGAAGCCGAAAGACAACAAAGCAACTTGTAAAACGTTAAACTTTGCAATATGTCTAACACTAGAAACCTTTCACATGCGGCCCGAGACTGAGCCGTCAACGGCATAGTTCTCAAAACCTTTCACATTACGACCATATAGTTACCTTATAGGAGTTAGAGAATTTACAATTTTCAGAGATTGAAAACTCTATTAAAATTATATGTTGTTAGTTTAGTTATTTATAAAAGAATTTTAAAGTAATTAAATTTCAAAAGTTTTAATGTTGTTGTTTTGTAAAAAAAAAAATCAAATAAAATTAATGTAAATTTATTTTTGGTCGACATAAATTGTCAAACATAAATTTGTTGTATTAAATGTTGTATATATAAATATATTTAACGTTTAATCAATAAATGATGTTGTTTTGTGACAAGAAAAACAAATCAAATCAATTTAAATTTCGATGTAAATCCTCAAAAATAAATTTGCCTACAAAAGAAAAAAATTTGATGCACATAGTTTTTAAATATATTTTATATAAAATAATTTATGTAGAATTCACTTTCATCATGCATATACAGCATACACAATAACTTTAATATTTTTATATAAACGAAATCGTTCATCATTATTCATTCCTATGTCAACAAATTTCAGAGAAACATAGTAATAGGGAAAAAACCCAAAACATTATGGTTTATTTTTTATTTGGACGTTTAATACTCAAATTTTTTTTGTTGGAAGAAAAAACACATAATAATTAAAATATACGATTTAATACATATAAAAATAAAATGTTGTTATTTTCATACTTACGGTTTCATAACAAAAATAAAATTCCAATTTTACCCTTACAATTAGAATATATCATTAATTTTAAATGACGTGACAATAATTTTAATTTTATTTGAATAAAAAGTCATTTATATTTATATTTCGTTTTATTAAAATTATTTTATTATTTAATTTATAATTTAAAAAAAAAATCTGGAAAAGAAAGAGATTTGACTAAAAATAGAGAGAATTGACCGGTTGGTCTTATGCCTTTGTTTTTTCCGATTTCAAATCGTCAAGTTCTTCAAATCAATTTCAATAGCAATGATTTATGTGTTTTGCTTTCGGTTGATAACTATTCATAACAAGATTTAATTTTTTTTTTCCGAATTCATAGCTTTATATCTTTTCTAATAACACCAAAATTGCTGGGTTTGATTTCAAATTGAGTTCTTAACCGATTTTTGCTAAAGGATACAAATTTTTAGGTGTTGTTTTCACATCGGTTTATGGGCTTCAAGTTTATATTTGGGTGTTGATTTCAAATTGGTTGCTTGATTTTGTTGTTTCTTTTTCGATTTTCTCAATTTAATTTCTTGAATTTGATTGGATACTGAATTGATTTTCTGGGTTTTGGTCGGAGACTCAACAAACATGTCAATCGGGCTAGCCCGGTCCGGCCCGGCCCGAAGCCCGGTCCGGCCCGGCCCGAAGCCCGCAAAACCCGCATATGTTTGAGCCCGGCCCGGCCCGGCCCGTAAAAATTCCGAACCTATATTTTGAAGCCCGGCCCGGCCCTAACAGGGCTACAGGTTTTTTACGGGCTTTTTTGGGCTTTTCTTTCGAGAAAAATAAACCCTTCTAATTTATAATATCTCTTGAAAAAAAAAAATCTATGTATAAAACGAGTCAAACGAAACTTAAATAACCCACTAAAGTCAATCTAGTTTTAAAAAAGTTTAAAATCAAATAAATAATCCAAATAAATTGTTTAAACCCACACTAAATAAAATATAAAATCATAACTCTTATACTAAGACACAATTAAAAAATTAGGGTTAGAGTTTTTAACTCTATTAAAAAAATCTTTAAACAATAATATTTTTTTTAAAAAATTAAAATCTCTTTTTAAGGGCTTTTCGGGCCGGCCCGAGCCCGGCCGGACTAACCCTAAAAGCCCTTTAGCCCAACGGGCTTAGGCCGAAAGGCCCGATTTTTTTCTGGACATATATTTTTAAGCCCGGGCCCGCTGTTTTTCAGGGCTGGGCCGTGCCAGCCCGCGGGCTTTGGCCCTAATTGACATGTCTACCAAGAATAACAAACACAATTTGGGAAGGCATATGGTTAATGATTATTGCTCACCTTCCTACAAAGAAAAACAATCTTCAATGCTTCTAATTCGATAAAAGATGGATTGGAAAACCCGGACTAAACGAAGCAGTGATAGAAGGCTGGAGTGGGGAAGGTTTAAGAGAGGACCGGCCTATCATGAAAAAAATCCAGAATTGTAAACGAGTAATCTCCATATGGAAGAAATCAACCCGTACAAATTCGGAGATACTTATCAAGGAACTCCATGATAAGATTGAGGAAAATTATGCGGATGACAACGCATCCGTGGAGGCTCTTCGAGATCTGAAGAAGCAATTGGGAGATGCATATACAGAAGAAGAGATATTTTGGTATCAAAAAAGCCGCCAAAATTGGCTAGCACTAGGTGATAAAAACACAAAATATTTTCATGCTCTGACAAAGCAGAGGAGGGCAAAAAACAAGATTCTCGGCATTCTAGATAACAACGGGGTGTGGGTGGATAACAAAGAAGGGATCGAGAGAGTTGCAGTGGATTATTTCGAGAAACTTTTTACAACCTCAAACCCGATAGATCCTTCCATGGCCCTTAGGGATATTTCTCCCTCTGTCTCTTCAGCAATGAATGAGTCCTTGGTCAAGGAGGTTACCGAAGAGGAATTTAAGCGTGCCTTATTCTCCCTAAACCCGACTAAGGTGCCGGGACCGGATGGGATGACTGCACTATTTTTTCAGAAGTTTTGGGAAATAAGAAAAGGCGATCTTACCAAAATGGTAAAGAATTTTCTCAGTTCCGGGATCTTCGATGGAAAGCTGAATGAGACTAATATTTGTCTTATACCAAAAGGAGAAAGGCCGCGCGAAATGTCTGGATTCCGGCCTATTAGCTTATGTAATGTAAGCTATAAGGTTATCTCAAAAATTCTAAGTTTTCGCCTTAAAAAATTTCTTCCGGATTTAATATCCGAGACCCAATCTGCCTTCGTAGCAGGACGACTAATTACTGATAATATCTTGATCGCACAAGAAAACTTTCACGCACTCCGCTCTAATCCGGCAAACCGGAAAAAATTTATGGCGCTAAAAACCGATATGAGTAAGGCCTACGATAGAGTGGAATGGGGATTTCTTCGAGCTTTAATGGAAAAAATGGGTTTCGATCAAAGATGGGTTAGCTGGATTATGCAATGTATCACCTCAGTTTCATATCGCATTTTGATAAATGGCGATCCAAAAGGCCGCATTAGACCAAAGCGCGGTATCCGACAAGGGGATCCTATTTCTCCGTACTTGTTTATATTATGTACGGAAGCACTTATAGCTCAGATCAGAAAAGCGGAGGAGGAAGGCAAAGTCCAGGGCCTTAGAATCTCACATGCGAGCCCACGCGTTTCTCACCTTCTGTTCGCTGATGATAGCCTCTTCTTCTGTCAGGCCAATGCTCAACAAAGCAAGGAAGTTATTGACATTATCCGCTCCTATGGCGGGGCTTCAGGACAAGAAATTAACTTGTCCAAATCATCCATTATGTTTGGTAATGATGTCTCATTACCGGTACGACAAGAAATCAAAACTATTCTGGGGATTTCCCGGGAAGGAGGGATGGGAACCTATCTAGGCCTTCCTGAGAAGATTCATGGCTCAAAAGCCCAAGTCTTTGCGTTTGTGAGAGATAGATTACAAACGAGAGTGAATTCGTGGTCAACAAAATTCCTCTCGAAAGGTGGAAAAGAAGTCCTCATTAAATCACAAGCTCAGGCTCTTCCGACATATGTTATGTCGTGTTTCTTGTTACCAAAAGCAATCTCCTCCAAACTTTCTAGTGCTATTGCCAATTTCTGGTGGAGTAATAAAGCTGAGAGTAGGGGTATCCATTGGATAGCCTGGGATCAAATCTGTACACCTTTATCAGACGGAGGGCTAGGATTCAGGACATTGGAAGATTTCAATCTCGCTTTGTTAGCGAAGCAATTATGGAGACTACTTAGGTTCCCGGACTCCCTTCTTAGCCGGGTCCTTAAAGGACGCTACTTTCGTTACTGCAGTCCCTTAGAGATCACTGTCTCTAACCGACCATCCTATGGTTGGAGAAGTATGTTGGCCGCCAAAGATGTTCTAAAAAAGGGGATTCGTAAGACTATAGGTTCGGGCTTCAGAACTTATATTTGGACCGATCCGTGGATCCCGGATTCCCCAGCTCGCCCACCCAAGGGCCTTACCTCGGAGAGAGATCCACTGGCCTGCGTCAACACTTTGATCGACTTCGGAACTAAAAAGTGGAAGGTGGACCATCTTCGGGAATTGTTCCCACCGGAAGAAATTACCCTTATACTAGGGATCAAACCGAGCTTAAAAGTCTCGAGTGATGGATATTGTTGGACTCTAACAAAGTCTGGCAATTATACAGTTAAGTCTGGATATGAAGCCGCGAGAACTATTTCTCGTCCTGCCTGCGACCACCCTTCTCAGGGACCAAGTGTTAATGCACTAAAGGCGCAAGCATGGAAATTAAAAACTACGCGGAAATTAAAACATTTCGTGTGGCAGTGTGTGACAGGATGTTTGGCCTCGTGCCAACGACTATTTTTTCGCCATATTGGTAGAGATAAAGGATGTCCCAGATGCGGAGCAGAAGAAGAAACGATTAATCATTTGATCTTTGAGTGTCCACCTGCTAGACAAGTATGGGCCCTTTCCAATATCCCATCATCCCCAGCCCTTTTCCCCTCCCCCTCGCTATACAATAATTTAGATTATTTGTATTGGCGGGGTAAAGAGGCGGGTGCGGATGAGGAGAGTCTGAGAGTATTTCCATGGATCATGTGGTATATTTGGAAGGCAAGAAATCGAAAGATTTTTGATAATCTGAGCGAACCACCTCAGGAAACAGTGGATTTAACAACTCAAGAGGAAGAGGCTTGGAGGCGAGCAAACAGCAGATAGGCCAGTGTGTTTTATTGATGGATCATGGCACTGGGAGGAGGCTAGGAGTGGACGTGGGTGGATTGTTTCCTTGGGTGGAAGACTGATGCATTTGGGCTTAAAGGGTTCGCGTAGAA